GTTTAAGCTTACATAGGTTTGTCATTATATTTAAACTCAAAACTGTGAAACACTTTATTCTCTTTTTTTAACTTATCTGCTTCTAAAAGTGTTAAGACTATCTTTTCAGGTAAGAGGTTGTAAATCATAATTATGCTAGAATACAAGAAAGTGACGTCTAAACCTGTAACAAAGTGCTTATTTTCAAGATCTTTTTTCAGCAGAAATACATATACTCCTGAAAACTTTTCAGATACTTTTTGGTCAGAAATTTTTATAGTATATAGAATATTCTACGTTCATGCTTTAACACCTAAAAGATTAGATACTTTCATTTCTATAACATAATAATGCGCGTTAAAGAATGATATATAAGTGATTAAAGTGACTTCTCTATAATTATTTATAATACTACATTCAACCATAAGCTCCTGATAACGTAAAGCATCTATAATATAATAATATATAATTTTGTACATATTTTTGATGGAAGAATCAGAAGTCCTGTCCTTAGTTTCTGAATAATACTTTTATAATTTACTTATAGACATATTAGCTTTACCATTAAGACCACACTTTTCTAAGAAGAATTTGAGTAATGTTTTCTCAGAGCGGGAATGGAGTTACATAAAACTTATGTAAACATCAATTAATATGCATTCAGAAAGTTTAAGAAAAGATGATTCAAAGTTTAAAATAAGATTAATTTTGATATTAATAGAATCTCAGCCTAATATTTTTTTAGGACCCTTGTCTACTTTTTTTACCCATTGGTTCTTTTGGAAGAAACTATTAGTTTGTAACTTTCCTTTTCTACCAAAATAATTTCAAGTGAGAATGGATTTAACATCAGCTTTCTTATGTAGATTTGCCAACATTTGCTGAATTATCCACTTAAGAATATTTAATTTAGTGGTCTTTTTTACAATAAAAGGCCAATCATATCCTGAATCGTTAAAACTGAGCTGGATGTCTAAGGCAAAAGATTTTTAACATAAAGCAAATGTCTTTAAGAGATTGGCCTGATTCTCACATATGATTGTGATTTAGCGTGAGTCTGATTTTATTTCTATATTGACAAACATATTTTCTCTAAAAGAAATCAGATTATCTTTCCAGTATAGGGACATGCAGATTATAAAAACTTAAGACATATCATTTTTTACTTCTGAAAAGTTTACATAAATCATATGTTTTTATATTTTATATTAGAACTAATGTTTAATTACGAGTAAAGAGAAAAGATAGATAGATTTTGTAAAATGATTCAAAATTGTCTTTGGAACAAAAGTTATCAATGTAAACATAAAATGTATACAGACAAAGATAAGATTTTGCATAATAAGGTGTACTAAAATTATATCTATAATCACTTATTAACTTTCACCTAAAAAGTGATATTCAATACTTTTTTACAACTTTATGATAATATGTACCTGTATTATCTAAAGCAATTTCTAATCTATCTTTTTGATCAGCCTTTGAATTATAGCTTAAGATAATATCAAGAGTAATAAATCTTTCATCTCTATTAGGTGTGATAATATAGAGATACAGCTTTTTTTCACATAGTAACCATAAATAGAATATACCTTTATACATTTTATCTGGATTAAATTTATATTCACAGTATTCCCCCTACTATCTTTCTTAATAGTAAGTATACTCTTTACTTTAGACCAAAATTTGGGAATGCTCGCATTATCAGGAATATAAATATCAAAAATACCTTGATGCTAGTAATAGTGATAACTGCTTTCTGGTCATTAATGAGATACTCATAGAGGTGAAGAATATAATGGAAAATTTGATTAATATATTCTTTAGCTTATTTCACATCAGCTGACATGAATGGAATATTTTGATGGTTCACTATTTTATTATTGAGAGTTGAAGTTGACCTTTCATTATTTTTCACAGCATATTTATCATAGTTTTTAATACCTATCAGGTAATTCTCACCTCCATATCTGATCACCTAGCCTATTATTTTATCTTTTTTAGCCTCTAAGCAAAATAGGAAGAAGACATTGAGGAACTCTAAAAGCTCAGATTAGATCATTTTTTCTCAAACAATTTAAGATAATTTATAGTTATACTAAAACTCAAGGTATATTATTCGTAAAAAAAAAGTTTAAAATGAAAATAATTCTCTGATATTATTAATTAATATATACAAATGAAAGACAAAAAAAAGGTGACACCTTGGAATTTTTATTATTGTTCATATACTCTTAAGACTAAAGAAATGTGTAATCAGAGATGTTATGATCTAAAAGGATATAAAATCCATCAGAATTCTAGGCAAGTTTCTTGTAAAATGCTGTGAACTGACAAGATTTGAATATGACTATTACGATACATATACAAAAAATATAGATTGAGAAAATATTATCATCAAAAAATAGGCTAAGTTGGCTTCGACGCAGATACTGATAAGTAATTTAGAGGTAAACAAAAATAATATAACTTGTTACTAGTGTCACTAAAAAAAAAAGCTGATGACAGAAGCTAGTGATACAGATGATAGACTCTTTAGGAATTCTAGGCCAAAAAAAAGTTTTCTTGATAGGTGTCACTGGTATCACTACTGTCACTAGGGAAAATCTAAGTTTTTTATTTTTTAGCATACATATATCATATATATACTATACATTCATCATATTATATCCTATGAATAGCATAAAAAATATTTGATGTTTTTTCTAGAAATTATTACTTTTTACTAGTGACACTAGTGACACTAATCAAAAAAAGAATAAAATAGTCTAATAATCTTAAGAAAGATAACAAATTCATCACTAATTTTATTACTGGTTCTGTATACTAACTGGTGATACTAGTAACGCTTAAAAAATTTGGCCTTATATCCTCATAAAATTTTTATAAAAATGGCAAAAAACTTAACAAGAACATCAGAAGTATCTTCTTTAACATTTTTAGAACTCTGATAAGACAATTTTATTACTTGACCCTATGAACCCTATGAATTTTCAAACTCTTTACCTTTTTTTATTTTTTTATATATATCAATTATATCAATCATATATGAATATATTTACTCAAATAGTGTACCATAGAAAAATTTTAATTTTTTTTTCTAGAACTTTTATCTTTCATAAAGCTCATAGGAACATAGGGGAGAAGTGATAAAGAACTCAATAAAATAAACTAAGAAGTCTAAAAATGATATCAAGATTGACTCTATAAGCATCTTCATGAATTTTTCTTATAGGAATTGAAAATTTTCATAGGAATGCTTAGAAAAAATAGCATACTCATTATTTTGACTCAAATTAAACTATGATTGGGCTTCAGAAGTACTTACAACATCTCACTAATATACCATCAATAAATAGGCAATAGTTGAATTACAAAATGGTGCAGGTCAATTATGATAATACACAATATTTTTATATTTTGCATTTCAAATTCTCTGATCTGCAGATCAGTAAAAGTTATGTAACTAGCGCAATATGCACAGTAAAATTAATGAAAATTTCAGCTAATACTATTTCATGATTTTGGCCAGATCTTCAAACATAATAATTCAACATCTAAGTTAGTATACAAAGTGGTCTAAAACTAGCAAACAAATAGAAATACTTTAATTTTCTGCCAGTTTTATAATAGTTTTAGGAGAGTTCTATGATACTATTATAGTTTCATCATGTTTTCAAGCTAAATCCTCGAATTACATGCTCTAAAGTTTGGCCAAAATTATAGCATAGTGTCAGCTGAAATTAATTGCAGATCTACTACGTCACCTGACGTGATATTTTTTTATACTATTTTGGTATTTTGAAAGGCAACCAAATAGGCCATACTCTCAATAAAAAACTAGCATCCAAACTGGTATAAAAGGTTAGTATCTTCAAGATAAAAACTGACTCCCAAATAGGTAGAGATAAGTACAAATAAGAAAGTATCAAATTGATAATGAAAAGGCTATAAAATATAATTATATTAGAAAGTATTTATAATACTACAAATACTAATAAAAATAGGCATATTCAGGTTATTTAGTCATAATCATAATTAGATTATTTAATCATATGATCACAAATGATAAATAGGAAATGGAAAAAGAAATTCAATTTCAAAGGTAAGAAATATAATAAGAAAAATAGGTAGGTATAAAAAATCATCACAATTAGGTTATTTAATTAGATTATTTAATCATAATTAGATTATTAACTTTAGATTATTTAATCATATTTAGATTATTTATTTATATTTAGATTATTTAGTTATATTTAGATTATTTAATCATACCTAGATTATTTTATTACCAAATAACCTAATCTAAGCTGTTTATAACTAAAAAATATAATTATATTATTTAATCATAAATAGCTAAGCTTATTATTAAATTTTAATTTAATAAAATTAAATTTTTATAAATTTTATTTTATAATTATACTAATTTTTTTAATTTTAAATATAAAATCCAACATAATTTTTATTTTCAATATTTTGATTTTTAGATTTGCTAATAAATTTTTTTTTTAAAAATACTATATTTAAAATATATTTATATAACAAATAAAAATTTAATAACTTTATATGTTTAAAATTAAAAATTTGAGATGATGATCAACTAAATGATACTCCATGCAAGGCCCGATTGGTACGATTGGTACTTCCGATATTCCGATTTAGCAATAATTTTTTTTTTTTGTGTCGCGGATAAATCAATTAATATAATGAATATGGATTAACATAAATGAATTTCAATCATTTTGTAAAACATTCCAGCTTTATTATAAAGCTTAGTTACAACTGACAATAATAATTTGCCTTATTGGCACGGCCTGTCGGCAGATGAGAAAGAAAGTAGAAACTGCTAATATTAAAGCTTCCCTAAAAATAAAATTTCTCTATTATTGCAAATTTTACAAATTTTTAGGTATATATATATATATATATATGTATATATATTATATCGATTTGAGACTAATGTATAGTATAATTTTAACCTTCCTAGTACGGAAAGCGCCCTTCTGGGTTTGCTTGTAGAAATGGTTTTTATTGATGGTGTTAAATACGCTTGGTACTTTAAATTTTTTTTATTGCGTTTCTTTACGGTTGTTTTTTTTTATACTTTGAACAGTTTGTTTATTTTGTAAAATAGTGCAACGTGCATTAAAGGTCATCGTTCTACCGCTTGTCAGCATTCTGACCGACCACTCTTTGTTATCAAAAGGAAAGGTCGACCTATAACCCAATGTTCACATTGTCGTGAACTTCGTAAAACCCAGAAAGTTCATGTGAAATGTAATTGTCTCGAAAGGAAAAAGGAAGAAAGTCTGTGATTATTTTTCTTTGATTAATTTTTCTTTTTTCCCTTAAAAAAATAAATCATTTTTGATTAATTAATTAATGATTGTATTATTCTTAATTTTTCAGCACGTTTGCCACAACCTCAAGCTATTGCAATTTTATCACAAGGAATTCCCAATAGGGATGATATCACTGACAATCAAAGTTCTTATAATGGGCCTACTTCAGAGGATAAGACTTCAGTGGGTGCATTACTGAACCCGTGTCAATGTCTAACTGGAGCAAAATGTATTTGTTGTCGACCCATTGAACCACAATATGATGCTAATCACAATAATTTAGGAATGACTGAATCATCGGATCAAACTCCAAAGTTTATGTTGCCACCAATCCCCTCTCCACTTGATAATAATAATTCGCAACTTCCTTTTGTATCTTGGGACAATCATCTTAATAACAATAATGAAGGAACGCATTCAAGTCATAATTATCCTTCTTTCGCACGAAGAAACAATTCACATTTGAATAACCCTTATAGTCAAAATTCATTAGAAAAAGGATATTCAGATAATAATAAAGATGATGATATATATTTGGGAACTCATGATCAAACTGGTGTTCTAGGTGAAGAAATTTGTCATAGTACTTCTGCTGATTTGGTCAATATAATCTATAAACCATTTCAAAGTTGTTCTTCTGCAATGAAAGATGGAAGTTGTTGTGGTAGTAGTAACTCTACAACAGTGATGCCAATTTGTAGATGTGGTTCAGGATGTAAATGTGAAGGTTGTGATGCTCATGCGGAAAGAGTTGGAGATTCTTATAATACAATTTCTCAAGTTTCTCAACAAGGTCGTCCAAAATATTCATGTTGTTCTTCCTTTTCTCCCGAGATCATTCAACCTATTCAGCCTGAACACACTGTCACCTTGGACGAAGATGGTGTGCAAATGTGTGGCTGTGGTTGTAATAAATATGACTCGGATTGTTCAGATTGTTTAAAAAGTTTATGTGAAGGTATGTTAATGAAAAAAAATAAATTAAAAATTTTGGTTTGTTTTGCTTTACGAACTAATCCGGATTTTCCCCCAAAAAAACAAAGAATACTTGTTAAAACAACCTCCAATGTGATACTTTTATACCAAAAAAAAAATTTTTTTTTTTATGATTTTCAGTTTTACCTAAATGATTTACCCTCTTATGACTGAAGGTATATAAATAAAAAATACATTTAATATGTCCATAAACGTTTAGAAGAATAAGGGGAATCACACTATTATATGGTAAGATAAACGGATAAATAAATATATAGTTTTGAGGGATTTTTGCCTAACGATGATACGCACTGTATAACGGAACAAAATGTTGTGTTTCGATTTTCATGACGATTATTTTTTCCTAAAATTTAAATAGAATGGGTCATTTTTATTTTATTAATTTTTATTTCATTTGCGTGTAAATTATACAAAAGACCGATAAAAAAATTAATATATTTTATTAATATTATCCTTATATATATATATATATATATTTTTAATTTGTAAATTTTCATATATTTTCTAAAAAATTGAAGATTAAAAAACTTTATTGGAAGTTTTTTGAAGTCTATTTCAATTTATTTAAGTGTAAACATGAGAGAAAACTAATTCCTCATGATGAACCGTGTGAACGTTTTAATCGTCAGGTGATTATAAAATTTATTAAAAAATGGAAAGATCAGATCAAAAAAAAACATTTTTTCGAAAAAGTTTCTAATCTAATTTGATTTTTTTGTTATCTAATTGATGTAATTCTTCTTCCCCATTGATATTCAAATTAGCTTCAGTCGTATCATTTTGATTTAAAATTTTTACATTATTCTCATCAATATTCATCGAATTTTGATCAGTCAAAGTAATTGTGTTATCATCACAAGATTGATTAACCTTCTCCAAAGTACCTTTTTGTTCTTTTTGTTTCATGTAAGAAGGTATAGGATTAGGAAGAGAATCATCAATAATTATATGAGTTGCGTGTAATAAATATCCTCCACCTCCACTTGTTGACATCGAAGGATGAGTTCTTCCCGGTAAAACCTATGACAATAAATGTCAATTAAAAAGAAAAAGATTATGAAATTTATGATATGGTTATAAATAATTACTTGATATGGACGCAACCAGCTTTCCGTAATTTGTGGGTTCAAAAACCTTTTGGATATCCTCATGTATACACACGCATTAATCAACATCTATACATATTGTTAAAGGGTATGAGCAATGATTTCATTAGTTAGGGAAAAGAAATTTAAAATATCACTAACCTCTTTATTAATATGATAAATAATAATTGATCTTGATCCAGACAAATAAGGTATCAATGCTTCTAGAATAGATTCGGGTTGATATTGACTCGCTATTATCAAACTAAATTTCTAGTTGTAAATTAGCACAATTTGAATATGAGACAAAAAAAAAGGTAACAGATAAATATAAAAAACATTAAATAATTTACCCATCAAATCCACCTTTCCATAGAATTTCTCTCGCGGCCCTTATTCTTTCATAAGTTGCTTTCCTTCGAAGGTAATATTTTAAATCCTTTTCCGATAAGGTTGATTCATCTTGATAGTTAAATGATGCTAAAAAAAAAAAAAAAAAAAAAAAAAATTGGACAAAAGGTTCTACATAAATTATTATAAGATTTTTTTCTCTTCTACCTTGCGCCTCTTCTTTAAATACTTGTTGCCAAGATAATGTCTTTAATGAATCGTTAACATTTTTCGAAAAATTCATAAACCTCACGATATCATAATTATGATTTTCACCATCATGAATGCCAAGTATAGTACCATAACCTAAGTAAAAGGAACATCTCTAATTATTTTTTATACAAAAACATCTTTTTAAGGTTCTCTCAAAATTCTTCGACTTAACAAACCTCCTAATCTCTCCATAACACCTGTAATCACAAGTCCTTGTGTGTCATCTACCACAAGCAATTTCGTATCGGCTCGTACATTGACCAAAGTTAATATCTGGGATAATGTATCAATTCTCATATCCCTAAACATAAAATTATCTCATATTATTTTGAGCTATTAACAAACATCAAATCCAAATGTATATATATTTCAATTTATTAACCTTATTTTACCGGGATTTTTCGAGAAAAAATACTCCCAGACAGAATACAATGTTGGTCTCACCGGTGTGAAAACGCGTGAAAATCTTTAAAATAAAAAAAGGATAGATAATTAAAAGAATTTGTGAAAATGAAAAGGCAATAAATAACAAACTTTAATATAACTTACTTTGCTTCCTTTCGTTTGATATATTTTGCTTTTGAGTATTCAGTCTTTTGATCAAAAGCTGAATGACTTTCTACCATTTTCTTGATAATATCCTAATTAAGATCATAATATATTATGATGATGAGATAAATACCTGTCAAAAATTAAATATTGCCTTTTAATGTTCATATAACTCACCTGTCCTTCTAATCCTTGCTTTTTCAATTTCTCAATTTCTTGATAAGATAATTTTTGTTTAGACGGATCATCTAATATTTCTTTATTGTTAGCACTGGTTTCATCTAAATAGAACGTAAGGATAAATATTATTACTAAAAAAAAAAAAAAAAATTGTGAAATGAGATTAATACTTCGATGAAACTTTTAATTTACCAATTTCATGGAATGCTACATTTTTTATAACTTTTACTTTATCACGATCATAAATTTCATAAGAATGACCAAATGGTCGTCCTATTATATCATTTGAATGAAACGTTCCAAACTTCCCTAATGGTACAGTGCTAATAATGTTATTTTTTAAATTAGATTCGAAATAATGACTATGTTTCAAAGTATAAATGAGTTGACCAGTATGTATAACTCACGTATCCTTCTGAAGTTTAACAACTTTGATATTGCCACTTGGTAATTGTATAAATACATATTGGTTATCAAGGATCAAAGAGGTATCTTGCTCTTGACTCTCTTCATTTTTAATAACAATATCGTCTTGTTCTACAGACATTTTATTTTTTATATATAATTTTGATGGATTAAAATTATTTCATGTATGAGTAAGCATTTTAATTAATAAACTTTTTAAACTTGGTAGTAATTATAATAATGCGGGCCAAATTTAGTTCGGTTAATATTTTTATTTTCAAAATCCTTGATCTTGAATGCTTTTGTCTATGAATATAATAATAATATAAATACAAATTTTCTGCTTTCAATTAAATTAATTTTCCCCGAGAGCAAAGTTAATTGTTAAACAGGATAAAATATATCATCATAATAATAAAAAAAAAGAAAAAAAAGAAAAAAAAAAAAAAACTAAAAACCAAAAAAAAAAAAAAAAATTATTGTTCTATAATAAAGTAATAAATTAAAAAAAAAAAAACGGGAAAAAAAATAAAAATAATAAATGTACAAATGTCTTATAACGGTGAGAATCTAAATCAATGGAGAATTTGCAAACCCATTTCCAAAATATTTCGGATATTCCACTATCAACCCTGGAAATCGAATCGTCATCGAATTTGTAGAATTAGTTCCGGAAATGATATTATTAACTTCATTACCATTACTTAAATTTTCTCTTTCAACATTTGCAACTTGTGCACACCACTCGGCATATTCTTGATTAACAGATTCGTACTCTGATATCGCTTTTCCTGCATATGTATGTCTGTGAAAGGCATAACGCCATACTAATGGCTGTATTGTTGGTTTACTTGTTGTTCGTATAGGAATTGATGGTGTCGTTGGCGAAGTAGGTGACGTTGGTGACGGAGCCGTTGATTTTTGTTCCAACTTATTAGAGTTTGATTTGTTCGATCCGCTTGGAAACATCCAACGAATAAAGCATGATGCTGTCGTTTCTTTGCCAGATGGGATAAATGGCAGTTTTGATCTACGGTTTTTATTTGGTATAGATGAAATAGTTGAAGTTGAAGTAGACAAAACAGATGATGATGATGACACATTTTGAGGTTCAACTATTGATTGTTTTTGTAACTCTTCATTATTACTATTGTCAATTTGGTTTGAATTGCTTTCAGTCATTGATTCGGCCATTGATTCAGCCATTTTTGCCTTAAAAACTTGTTCCACATCCTCCATGTCTCCTGCATAATTGGATAGAAATTCATGATATAGTCGCATACCATCTAGGCGACTTTGTAATGTGATTAAAATACTGGGAAAATTTTTTGATTTCTTTAATTAAAAAATTAAAAATTAAACATTCAAAACAACATTATGATTTTTATTTACTTACTCAATCACTATTTCTTCGTTATCTTCGATAATTACGCCGCTATCGCTAATTTCTCGATCTTTATTATCATCGTGCTTTCCGACTCCGCCTCCAATCTTTCCTAAACGCCACACTAACAAGCGCATATAATATATTCTCACATTTCTTGACCAATGACAAAATAATCTTTCAAACATATCCTCGTTTAAAAGTATTTCCTTAACTAATTGTTTGAGATAAGCGGGTTGTGAAGTTAAAAGAAAAAAATGTGTATAAATAAAGCTTATTGTCCTTAGAATAGTAATGGTGTGATCTGATTCTTCGAGGAGAAGCTTGAAAAGAGAAATATAAGAAGGAATATCGAGTATGTTTATAAGATTTGGTGCGGTGAATGGAGAACTTGATGAACCATTTGAACTAGCACTGTTCGAATTGGATGATGTAGACTCTGAAGAAACAATACTATCTCTATTCCGACAAAAAAAAGTTTATTTGAATCTTTGCAATAATAACGATTAATAAACCTACAGTTAAAACTAAAATAAATAGAATACCTAGCATCCAATTCCAAAATTAATGTGTCAATAAAATCTAATAAACCTACAAGGAAAACGATTTTAAAAAAAAATTTTTTTAAAAAAAAAAATGTTGACAATTATACTTACAAAATACACCTTCAACATCATACATGTTTGTCTTCGTTACCACAGCATTAATCCAAATGTTACACATCTCTTGGAAATAGCCGATCTCAACTATAGAAACCACGGTCTCAACAAATCTCCGGCCCGCCATTTCTAAAACCTTGGGCTTTCCATTACCAACAGTAACTCCGTTCATCATACCTCCTAAAGCTACGTTTCCGTTCGCATCTGCATTTGCTGCGACAACTCCATTAATGCTAGTGGTAGGTAACGATCCCATTCCAATAGCCGCTGCATTAGGATTCATGGCATTAGTTATTCCATTATTACTTCCTTGATTAACGTTATTGGCATTTCCATTCCCCCTTGGATGTTCAAACTGAATTACCGTCGTAATAGTATGTATATTACGATGTATGAGTGATTCGATCTTTAGAAGAAAAAATGATGCTAGGTGAATGTAACCTGGTGCGGTTATATACTCAAACGGAGGTGTCATGATTTTAACTGATCCGGAAGCAGTTAAATGCGACGCGAGGTAAGCTTTGAGCACGATATGATAATGTTTATAAAACGAAAAAAACAATTCACTGTCATCACTCTGCCAACTTTATATTATTAATGTATTAGATTAGTAAATACAACATGTATAATTGTCCAACTCTCGTTAATTAATCGTAAAGTAACTCTTACCGCCTTATCCAATTCCCGCTCATTTCTATAGGTGGTTCACCCCAAATGCGTTTGGCATTTTCAAACTGCCGCCACCATAATTTTAAATTTAAGAAGCATAAAATTTTCAAATGTTCAGGGAACAAAGTAGAAATTTTTTCATTCTGTTTTGTCATACGATCGAGACTAAGTTGTTATTTAATAAATAATTGAACGTCATAAGAAGAAATTAGTGACTTAAATCAAACATGAAAATAATACATAATCTAAATCAATGTCACCTTGAATCGTCATCACCGACCGTCTCCTTTATTATTCGTTTGATATGTGATTTACTTACTGGCAATGCCTGCAATAAAGCAAATCCGACACCAGGAATTTTAAAGAAGCATAAGGCTGATAATTAAATAAACGAATAAATAAAATTATAGATTATGAAGCGAATAAAAAATTATTAACTTTTAATTTTAATTCATTTACCTAAAACACGCGCGCAAAATGAAATTACATTTGAATAAACGCCCTTTTGATTAAGTCTATCAATTGCATAATGCAAAGTTGACATTAAAGCAGCACGATATGTTATTATGATATCAATTGGAATGTCCATATATGTATCTGTGGTGTCCATATGAGGAATTGGCCCTATCCGGTCTGTATAAATATTAATCATTATAAGAATTATGAACTAATACAATTCTTGATATAAATGAAATAAAAATGCTATATAACTTGCCAAAGTCCTCAAACTCATTTCTGTTAAAAATGAAATGTTTGTTAATAATAAATCAAAAACTTTGAAATCATATCCAGCGATTGTATAAAAAATATAGATACCTAGTCATTAACAATAGAATACATTCAAAATAAAGGCTACGATCCGTGTACGCCGCATTCGGTAAATTAGAAATTAATATATTCCACCTTTTACAAAAGATCAGGAATTTTTTATTTAATTATTTTTATTTCTCAAGAAAATAACAAATGAAATGAAAAAAAAAAAAAATACAAACCACTTTAACAAAATGACGCGGCCATGCTGTAAATATTTGTCTTTTGCAATTACTTAGATATATATTTATTAATTATTAAATAATAATTGATAGATTACTAAAAATAAATGACAATGAGGAAAAATTTTTTACCTGTTGTATATTTTTTGAGCCAAGGAATTAGCGATTTTAAAACATCCACCTTATGACGATCCTTGGACTGAAATCTATATATAATTGTTGAAATATAAATATAAGAAATCATCGATTGGTATCATTCGTTCAATTATCTTTGAAATTATAAATAAATATATATATATTACTTCGATAAGGCTTTTTCTATGTTCTTATATTCATTATCTTGAGTATTTCCCCAAGACTTGAATAACTTTTGTTTAGAACTTGATTCAGTTGAACTTGAAGACTTTTTCTTTTGTACATCTGTACCAGACGACGTGGAAGATATAGAATGGGAAGAACTGTTACTACTTAGTAAGCTTGATAAAAAACCATATTTAAGTTTTTTATCCGGTTGTCTTGAAATTGAAGCAGTTGTCGAAGTCGTCGTAGCCTTCGTTGTAACCGTCATTGGATGATATGAATCTGAGAAAGAACTATCGGAAATAGAAGACTCTTCAGCCGAATCTGTATTTTTAAAATTGGGGTCTGTGTTCAAAGTTGTGTCCAGAAACAACGCAGCTGACGTTGCAGAGTCAGTTTCGGCGGGAGCTAAGATTTTGCTTGGATTACTTGTAATATTTTCGTTATTTTGTATGTCTACGATGATGTTTGAAGAATTGTTATTATTCAAATTTTGAGTGACTCGCATGACGGACACAAAACTTAAACTTTATAAGCAAAAATTTTTTTTTATGGAATATTGTTCTTTGCGATATTAACATTATTTATGACATTTTGGCTATTGTTAACATATGAATAAAGTTGATCTTCAAAATCGATCTCTATTTAAAGGTGAAAAATTATATAAAATTATATAAAAAAGGTGTAATTTTTTGGTACAAATAAAAAATGCGCGGAAAAATGAAATGTTCACGTGATATTTCGCAATGACCATAGGAAAAAAAAAAAAATTAAATTATTTAAAATTATTAAAATTATTACAAACAATAAAAATAAGTAATTTATCATGCATATTATTTTGTTAAATTAAATGATCCATTATTGATACGTGCAATTGATTATTTGTGTTATCTATGGCTAAACATTTAATATTTGTTCTGTCGATGGTGGTTTTTTGATGGTCATGGGGGAAAATTTGTAAGCCTATAAATCTTAAACAAATAATACTGAACGTGAAGTTCACAATCAAAATAAAATTTTTTATCCTCCTTGAAGAATAATGATAACTTCATAAAATTGGGTAGGTATGAATATTATGTGAAACGTAGTGGGTGACAAATAACATTTTTAGTATGGGTGTGATAAATGTCACACCGTTTACATTTGATGGACTTGTATTTTATTATATACTACATAAATACAAATTTCAGTTTTCGGTGATAAAAAAGTCACCTAAATCACCAATTATATAGTACAATATTTTTTCAATAATACTGCTGCTAGACCAGGAGATCCATTTTCAACATAAATCATTGACAAATTATATGCTGCATCCCTTCTAAGGCATGTAGAATCATTATCATTCGCAATAGAGTATTCTTTGGAAGTTTTTTCAGGTGATTTACCCTAGGAAATTCAAATTCAAATTAGTTTAAGAAATATGAAAGAAAGATAGGTTTTAACATACCTTTCCTTTTTGTTCACTGAAAACTTGTTGGAGCGATGGTAACTCTAAACATCTTTCGTAATGAGGAACTGCTAAATGATATAATCCTAGTTCATGAAAAGCTCTTCCAAGATTATACTCAGCCTCTTGGTTTCTTCCTTTCAATTCATAATAATTATATAAAAATGTAAATGCCTATAAAATAGGTTATTATTAAAAATAAATAAATAAATAAAGCAAGCAAACATAAATTTCAAGAAATAATACCTGCATAATTTGTAAATGTCGATTATCACTTATTCTTTGCATAGACCGATGCATATATGCAAGTCCCATTGACAAACTAATTAATGGATCTTTCGGTTTAACGGAATACGCACGAGAATAGTATCCTATAAGATAAAAAGTTTCAACCTAAATAAATTACCAAATATATATATATTCGCAGAAAGCTTAAACATTTCTTGAATAAGAGGTTACCGATTGCGCCGACATAACTTCTGGCACATGCTAAAATATGTCCATAGAGTGATAATAATGATGCAACTGGTTTTTCTGGAACTTTGGCTTTTTTCAAAACATGTTTTTGTTTAGACCCATCTTCCGATTTTTCCGAATTACTTTTTATTATTGGAGTCTGATAAAAACCGGTATCCATCAATTTGACCTGACGAAGAAAATATTTTTGGGAATTTGCGGCTGCAAAGCATGATAACGCATTTGATCCGCTTTAATTTAATTTTTGATTTAATAAATAAATATATGTTATCAAACCATTAATCAAGTAAACTGTCATAATAATCCAATTTTACGATACCTAGACATCCCTGCTCCGTATAAATCATACAAATTACTATTAAATGGTTTATAATTACATAGCCATCTTGCATTCTCGCATACAACTAAAAAATTACGCGTATGAAGACCCCACGCTAGATAATAAAATATATAAATAACTATATATATCTCTCTCTTAAAACAATAGCTTCAAACATATTAAATGAAATTAAAATTATATAAATATCTATTATTTACCCAATGATAACAACTTGAGCACAGTTGTATAATGAATATTGTGGAAAAAAACATTTGCTCTACCAGCTAACTTAAGTAGATCAAAGGCCTCTTGTTCACATTTGTTCTTTGTTGATGTAACTATATACTATAGAATTAAAAAACCAACCTAATTTAAATAAAACAAAAATTTATAATCTTTGAAACAGAACAAACTTTATCACAAACCTTGATAAAAAAATCAAACCATTTCTCGAAAATTATACCATTAAATTCGGTAATTTTTTTGCGTATTTCATCTTCTAATTCATCTTTCTCCCCATCTAAAGTAGGGTTTGGTAAATTAAACAAAAAACAAGCTAAACTTTTATTTTATACATTATTTTTGTACCAACCAATGCGCCATTGTAATCTTTTTGCCATTGTAGTTGCTTGTTCGTCTAGATAAGCATCATCATTATCATTAGAGTTTTCTAACTCTTCAAAATACGCTTGTTTTCTCCAGGACCTTCGACGGTCCCATCCTTTAAACGGAAGCATCTTAAATGGATAAAAGCAGTCAAATAAATAAATAAATATTTTTTTCAGTAACACGATAAGAATTAAAAAATTCATCAAAGGAAAAATACCCTATCCCTCTGAGGGTAAAAGGCTCTGTTATTTTTCCAATCAACAACAACATTCCTAGCGGTTTCCAAAAATTCTTTTGCTGATTCTGAATCGCCAAGTCTAGAACGACCATATAATAGATCCAACCTGTGGAACTGAATTTTTGTTTCCTTTTCCTTTTCTGCTATTTTTTGTTTGCGCTCTTCTTCCGCTCTCGCGAAAGCGTTAGCTTTAGATTCTTCAGATACAGTCTGGATTAAGGATGCTTCGGTCTGTAATGATCCTGCTGGTATACTACGTGAAAAACTAGCACTGAATTGATTTGAGGTTGAAGATGGCACTTTAGATTCAGCTGCTGTTTGAATATGCTTTTCTTTACGTGCTTCAAGGACTATCAAAGAAAAGCATTGAAGTGTTAAAACAGAACATTGTTTATTATTTTAAAAAAAATTTAACAATTAAATACCTTCATTAACCATTTCAAGAGCCTTTTCCTTTTCATCCAAATCTTCGTATGTTTCGGCAAGTGCCATTTTAACATCCAAATTGTCCGGTAACTCTTTCACAACTATAGATTAAATAAATAAATTGTAAAGAGTTCAATGTTATAGGTAAATACACAGAATAGTAAAAATGTGTACCAGCAGCGAAATATTCGGCAGCACTTTCAAGATTTCCTAATTCTCGATGGCTCATTCCCATTCGCATCCATGCAAATGATTTATCTGTCTATCATTCATAAAAAAACCAATTTAAATAATTAATGCTTGCTTACTAATTAAATTTTGCCAAATTAATATAAAATATTTACAGATTCATTAACAACGACTGCTTCATATATTGCCAAAGCATCTTCAAATAATCCCTTGTCTGTATAAGTCTCAGCTACTTCATAATACAAGTCTACATATTGCTCAACATCATAAGACTCAAGATAAGCAAAATGTAACTAATTAAATAATTTAGATATCAGCATAAGTTAAGTTCCATAAGAAAAAAAAAATAGTAAGTTAAATTGTATATACATACTTTGCCTTCTTCAAGTCGATCAGTTGAAATCCTGCATTGTCCCAACTTAACCCTAAGCTCGATAGGCAATGTTGCATTTGTGCCTCCAGTGCTATTAGCACCACGAAGTCGAGCAGCGGCCAAAATTGAAGTATGATCTCTCCTATCTAAATTTTCTTCTTCGTCATATTCGCGATCATCGTTTATATAATCCCACCATATTTCATTTTCTCTTCCCTGCAGCCATCTTACACCTCGCTTAATAAAATCGATAGCACTATTATAATCACCAGCTAGCATATAAAGCTCGGCCATTATATTTATCTCAGAATATCCAAAGCTTCCCTCAGCTTCAGGATCTTCTGGAAAAGGCCTATTTCTATAATATGCGAAAGCATCAAGAAAGAGGTCAATGGCTTGGGGAATCTCATTCATTTGTACTTGAATACGAGTTATTTCTCGCAATACATTCATATCATAAGGAATCTTTTCTAATAGGCCATTAAATCCGTCTATCGCCTTTAAAAGAAAAAATATTTACATAATAAACATTGATTGAACAAGTCACTTCAACTCACAAGGTAGCGTATAAAAGAGAAATACTTTTTTGAATTCTCTAATTTCCGAATACAAAATTGATCGATCCCAAATAGCATCCACATCATTGTGATCACATCTGATAGCTTTTGAGAAACAATAAATAGCTTGATGAACTGCATTATGATTTCTAAGAAATAAGGAAGATTAGAATAGAATATTCGTTATCGGAGTACAAAATAAATATATATAAAAGATCAACTAACTTGCTTAGAAGACCTAATCTCTTCCATAATGCACCATCGTGTGGTGTTAAGTGAGCGGCAACTAAATATAATTGTAAAGCTTTATCCGGGCATCCCATCTCATCCTGAATAGTTCCCAAGGTAAACCAAGCAGAATGAATATTTGGATCTATTTTAATAACCTCTTGAAGAACTTCAATTGCTCTTGGGTAATCTCTGTTTACATAATGTAAATTAGCTTCTCCAACCAAGGCACGAAGATTTGGCGGAATACTACGAGGCCTTGGACCTTTCTATACCCGAACAATGATCTGTAGAACTTAACTTAATTGGATCTTACAAAAATAATTCCTTAAACAAGTAACACATATCAACAAGAGTACCTTTCCCTTTTTTATCCTTCCGATCCCACTCGTGAGTCTTAAATCATGATTAAATTCGGTCCATTCTTTTTCCAAATTTTGCCAAAGATGAGGAACAGAATCTCCTTTGGTTAAATCACTGCCAATAGCCTCAGCTTGTGATAGGAGACGACTATATAAACACCAATGTTCGTCGAATGTTTATTGATATAAAAAAAGATAATATAATCTATAAATTTTACCCAAAATTGTCTGACAAGTATTTCTCATCATCATCATCTTCTTCTTCTTCATCATCTTTTTCTTC